ATGAAAGTGTGTCTGACACAATTTACCTTTTTTTATAATGCTATATTAAATCAGCCCAGAGACATTGACAACAGAGTGGTAAATACTTAAGATTACATCTTCTTTCCTACAACATTATTCTTTTCCCTCTCTATCAGATCTACTGCCAAATAACTCAGTTCCTCCTTTTATTCTCACTCTTCAAACACTCTCAGCATCTCAGCTACACTAAGATCATCTGATTTCATTGGCAAGATAAGGAGACATCAGAAGTCAAAAGATCACTTTGGGCATGGTCCAAAGTTACCGGAGTAAACAGAAAAGAAAGAAAGAAAAAAAAAAAAAGGTTCAACTGGCTCAACACTGAACCCTAAATATTTACTGTCACTTCAAATGATTGTATGTCAGAGTCTCCATTATTTCAATTAAATGTTTATTTGAAAATGGAAACCGTAAATGGGACAAAACATGTCCAGATAAAAAGCTCTCATAGTCATAATCTTTCTGCTGTCTAGAGATTGTTAGAAGACCAAAAAAAGTACTTATTTCCATTTCTCTAAGAAAAAAATCAGAGAAATCTTAGGAAAATAACATTGCCTAGAAGAGCTAGGACAAATCTGCAATTAGTACTCTGATCTGGAATTCCCTGCAGTTTGACAGCTACCTTGCAAGAAACGCTACGGATCAACAGGCAATCATTACACACTTCCTTTGGGGAAAAAAAAAAAAAAAAAAAAAAAAAAAAAAGCAAATTTTAATCATTCATTTGAGCTTAGATATGATGGCACAAAACAAACACACCCTGCCATTCACAAACATTTCTCCAGAGAAAGCTTTTGTGTTTGCTTTTCTACAATCACGTGTTGGGCCAAGCAGGAGGTTGTATTACTTGGCTACTTAGGGGCTTTTCCTGCTGCTGTTTTGCTTCTCCTATAACACAGACTCACTTTATTTGAAATTCTGATACAAACCACAGTACTGGGGCAAAGCTCAACATTTCAGGGATCTGCCTTTAGCCATAATTATAGCCTCACCTTTGTGCTCTGCACTTTCAAGGGTGGCAGCTGCTCTAAATTACCACAGGTGGAAATAAAAAAAAAAATATATTAAAAAAAATAAAATAAACCCACAGCTTTCTTGAAGGGACACCAAACAAGCTACAAGCTTGTCCACTGACATTTTCCTCCTGGATAACTCAGGCCAGGAGGTCAAAACAATGGCTGACTAACAAGACAGCGTGTAGGGAAAAGGTTACCATTAATAATGCAACAGAAAAGCACTATGTGGACAAGTAATGGCAGAAAAACATACCGGGATGATCAGGAGGATAAAGAGGTCATGAAAGATATGACTAGATGCTAGTTGGAGAAGCGATGTTCTGAAAAAGGTGCAACGCTGTTAAGCTGAACGCCCTTCCAAGTGTTCAGTAACTTCTGCTCCCAAAATATTTCCCTCAGAGGTAGCAAATACAGATGTCCTAATGCTCTTTCTTCACTATTATCATAAGCCAATGCTTGGATGATTTCACGAGATGGCTTTCCTGAACAACTCCTGACTTGCACACTCAAAACAGACAACACAAGGAAGGGTAGCTTGAGAACAGTGTCATTCAGGCAGCTCAGACAGGAGGATTCCCTTCCGACCACAACAACACAAACAGTGGTGGATTTGTCAGCTGATGCCATCCAATACATTCACACCCACCCCTAAAAGTTTCTTTAGACCGTGCACTAAATGCAACCTTTGGTCTAACAAGTAGACACTGATACTGACAAAAAGACTCATAAAGGATTCCTGAAGTAAGCTATTATCAGCTAACACAGTCAGCTTCAGTGACAAAAAAAAAATGTCACGTCCTATCATTTCAACATCTAGAAAGAACCACATACAGAACACAGACAATTTAGCAGCGTTTTCATAGCCAATACAGGTATATAATGACCTTGTACCGAGCCCAGATGTAGCCTTCAAACCTAGATCTTCTTTCCCTGAACAGCGGAACGCCAACCTTGGGAATGGAAATCCAAAAGCTCCACGAATAAGCAGCACAGGCACCATGGTGCTGATACATCACACCTTTTGAAAAATCTTATGTACCCCACTTTTCTGCAGGCAGCATTGCATTTCAAATCCACGGTGGTATAGACCTGGATGCTTGAAGTCTGAATGGTGAAGATTTCTGATTTCCACAACAAAGAATTAGTAGTATTCTGACAAAGAAAATATCTTTATATGAGAAACAAATAATTTTACGGTTCCAAGGATGCACAGTGCATCTGGATATTAGTGAACTGGAAACCTCTTTCATTTTCTTACAGCTAAGTATTCCCTAATTCTTCTCTTACACTATTGTAATCCAGTTACAGCAGACCAAGCCTTGTGTAAGTAGGAAAATAATTACAGCATTTTCTATAAACTACAAGAAAGGCACAGAGTTTAGACAATGGTTTTATAATCAACAGCCCTTTGTATCTATAGCCCACGACCAGAAAATAAAATTTGTCTTTCATAATAATGAGCAAGTGGCTCACTCACAATTCCTTACATGAATAATAAACGTGAGGTGCAAGCCACTGATTGGGATGAAGTAATTACAAGGTAAAAGTGGATTGAAACATTGTTTTAGTTTCCGGTAACAGCTTTAGAAATAGTTTCCCAGTTCAGTTGCATGCAGACAATTCATATGGAGAAAAGGGTGTGTGGGTGGAAGTATGCAATTGTGCAGACAAGAGAGAGAGAGTGTAGGAAAGCTGCCTGTTTAGTAATCTTTTTGCTAAATAAACCCCTCTCTTACCAATGGCAAAATGGAAAATAGATTCAGTAGCCTTGCATTCTCTTTCACTGCTTAACTAAGTGCACTCACAGAGAAGCCTTCAGTCACAGCCTTCAAGTACAACACAGTAAAAATTATTTCAGAACTGCTTGGTGAGGTAGTAGGACAAGCAGCCTCTGCACAGGATCTTCTACATATGGGAGACAACAAAGGATTCCGTTTCCTAACGTCCTTTAATTCTGATCCCGGTTTTGCGATTTTAGCTCATCCTCACTGAAGGATGCTGAAGTAAAGACTTCACAGGAATGGATTGGGACCTTTTAAAAATAGCTAAGATTTGCCCATATTACCAAAAACTACTATATTTGCTGCCACTCTGTCCTGGCTTTAATTGCTGATGTCTCAAAGATCAAACCAAGATTCATCACTGCAAAATGTCTGAGGCAAAAGAACAAAAACTTCAAGAGAAAAACAGGTCTTTATAAGACGATTTTAAAACAAAAATAAGACAATTAGAAATGACTACGCTTATTTAAAGATATTACTGCTTCATAAATGCTAACAAATCAATATGAATACAATGGCATGTGTGAATCAGGAAATGTTGCTGCTGTATCTCCAACATCACCCAATCGATATGGAGAAGAGGCTGCCCTGCATTATGTACTAGTTCTTTCTTCTCTGAAATGTCAAACATTTTACCCAGAAGCAGAAGGACTATACTACAGAGACAGAGAAGACAGATTTACAGTCATATCCCAACTGATTCATTTCCAGAAAAATTAAGCTACATCCTAAGACTCTCCAAATCTCTAATGCTCTTTATGCTTCATTGGCTTTATGCACAGCCCTAAAACTGCTATATGTTAAGACACAAAATCAAAAGCGATCTGGGCTAAGTGTTCTCAAGCAGTGACACTCCTGCTGCACTCCTTTTTCTAAGAGTGCAGCATTGGAGGAGAAAACATAAAGAGCTGGTTCGCAGAGCCAGCCAAGGAGCTAAGCAACATTAATCCAGCATCCATCAAGGAAAGGGAATAGCTTTTCATAAAGCTGCTTCTCTTTCTAACCAAGTGATATCTCTGTATCAGAGACATGCTAGAGAGCTGAAAAGATACAAAGGTGCCGAGACAATGAGTTTTGCTAGACTGTGTGAGCTCCAAGTACCTCAGGCTTAGAAACGCAAAGCAACGGAGAAGCCAGGATACAGGCAGGTAAAGAACACAGGTTTTGTACAACTTAAAGCTTAGTGAGAAGCACGTGGAGAGACTAAGGCAACAGAATACTCAAATAACTCAAAACACAGCCATCTGCAGATTTTGAACTGGCAAATTCTATTCATCCCTTACTTAAAGAACCGATGAAATCACGCTAGACCTAAAGCAGTTATATCTCAACAGTTTGCTGCCGTCAGATTTTATTCAGACCACCTGAATTATAAAGCTGACAATCAAAATTTATTTGAGGACACACAGGGAAATGAGACTGTGTCAATCTGTAGGGCAAATCTAATGGGACAAGTTGTCATTGTCTCATAGTTGATGCTCTTAAAAATCAAGAAAAGAGATGGAGAAACAGTGAGCAAATGAATGAATATACCTACCTTTGAAGCACCTAACCCCAAACAGCATGACAGGATACAGGAAAAGCCTGCATTTCTTCATGAACACATCTGTGCAAGCCAATCTGAGCAGCTGTTCTGTGACAAGCAACAGGAAGTAGAGCAGATGGATGGAAGAAGGGTTTGGTTTATACCACAGCAACTCTTACGGCTCTTCAAGCAGGAGGACAGCAGGCCAGGAATGAGATTCAGACGCCTTTCTTATCTATAAGGATCCCTAAGGATTCAATCTCTATCTGGACTGAAGTAAAACAACCCCCAGCACCAGTGTCTCTAGAAGTTCCTGTACTCTAAACGCCTGTATTGCCAACAGTAACGTGCATGCCATAAGCCTTCTCCTTGAAAATTCATTTCCTCTCGCCTGTCCACAAGAAATCAAACTGAAACAAAACCTTTTCAAGAAAATGAACATGAGGAGGGGTAACTGAAGTGATGAAAACATTGAGATCAAAGGAAACAAATGTTTATTATAGTAGTATTTTTTATCTCACCTTTGACAAAGGAGAAAAGATAGAGCTCATTTTGTTCATACCCATGTCACAGACAAAAAACAGAGGAAGAAAGGATATGACAGAATGACAGAGGTTCGTAGCAACTAAAAACAAACTGCTGTTTGTTTTTACTCACCCTGTACATGCCAAAGAGTTGAAACCTGTCCACTTTTACCTTGCGATTGAGACTATGCCCCAGGATGGCAGTCTCTTGACCTAGAAAGGGTCCATCTCAGGTGACACGTGGGGTCTCTGCAAGAGAAAGAGCCATTCTATCAGAGACAAACAGGCTCCCATGCCATTCAGTCCACCCATCCCCCCCAACTCACCCACTTCTGCACAATTTTTCAAAGCTGGTGTAAGAGCTTGGAAGGATCAGAAGAGACTGCAGTCATCCCCAGTGCTCCTTTACACAGCCACCAACACTGAATCAGCAAACATTCCTACAGATCTCACCTCAGACTCAAGGGAGATCTTTGTTGTTTGAAAGGGAAATGAAGCAACTCCACATAAGCGATTGATCAAAGAGGGACTCCAAGCTATTGTTCCCATGACACCTCTTGCTAAGTTGACCTCCAGATGAAACCTGAGCCTACAAGTTGCTTATCAGAATACCTAGCACACTACTGAATGTCAAGTTATTGAGAGCCTAAATGTATTTGCTTAATATCTGAAAGATTATCTTTCTTTATAACACACAAACAACTGGCGGATCAGAGTAATTGTTTCACAACCACAGAGCTTTTTGTTCCTATAATCCACTAACTGGGAAGAGAAGCCAACCAGCATAATGAACAGAGCAGATTAAATTGTTAGCTGTCACACACGAGATAAAAGAGAGAAGTAATTTCTGTGTCTCTGTTGCATGGGCAGGATTCAGTTCCAGAACACATGCAGTCTTGCCAGTTCCTAGCATTATCAATCCATTAGCGAGCCTTCATCTCTCCCATAACAATCCCTTTCCTCAAATGTCTTTTTAAAAACCTCTCTCTGAAGATTTATCCCTTTGTCTCACGGTGTGCTGTCCTTTGTCCAGACACTGAGGAAGAATAAAGCTCCTGTTTTCCTGCCTTTCCCTGCAGAATAGCTGAGCCAAGAGATCAAAAACACATCCTCCTCTTTTTCTAATAACAATCTCCCTTTTAGGATTGAGAGTTTTCAGAAAACCAGAGGTCTCCAAGAAAACGTTGGTTCTCAAAAACACCACATACACTTCTCTGACACGGTGAAGAGAAACCAGTCGCGATGATAAGAGCATCATCATGAGTGAAATACGCCAGAAGCATTAGATCACGTTAGAGTTTTGGAATGTTTTTAGATGAATCCATGATACAATTAAAGCTGAAGAAATTGATTTTCACATATAACAGAGAAAAAGCAGAGAACTGTAAACAACTGTATATGAAAGACTCTCAAATAAAGCAGTGAGAAACACCCACAACAAACACCAAGACGTCTCTAATACAAGTATAAACTATTCAGCTAGTTCTAGCCAAAAAGGGTCAATCTCTATGGCCTGAAATATCAATTTTCCACACATAAAAAACAATAATCAAAATTTTTCTTCTAGACTGGCTCAAGAGGATCCAGCACCGAGACCGTACTTTAGCAGAGTTTTCTTATTTACTTTTTCACAGGAAAAAAAAATAAAAATAATTCTACGCCTCACCAATGAGCAGACAAGAATTTTGAGCGTCCTGAATTGAAATTTAAGGTACAGTGCATGTCTGTTCATAACCACTCACTAGAAAATTTCAGTCAGCTGTAATTGCAACTCAATTTCCTGTTCTGCGGCCATAGTTTATATTTGCAGGGCCCCTCTAACTTCAAAAAAATACCTTAATGAACCTGCACCTGCAGACAAGAAAACTCAAAGCGATGCAGAAAATCTGGACCACAAAAGCTCATACAAAACAAGTAGTAAAATTAATTTCAGCCTAATATGTTTCTTATGCATTCAAGTGTCAATACCTGTGCAGACAAGCAGCACTTCACCAAGAATAAGGGCAAGCCAAACTGGCTGTGTTTGAAAATTTTTATTTCAAATTAAATTCTAAAGGAAATTTTTTTTTTTTTTTGTCTGTCAATTTAGATGATTCCACTTGCTCCACAACACATAGGAAAATTTGCAGTTATCGTACTGAAATGTGACATTCCTTTGGCAAAGGGGACATACTGACATGTATCTTGGGTCAGTGGCAGGCGGCATAAGTCAAAAGAAACTGAAAATGGATCAAAGGATTCAGAACCTAAAAATACCCTTTCTTTCCTTTGTCAACACAGTTTAAGGTGTCTGCCTATGATTCCGAGGCATCTGAAGTGGAGTAAGATGAAAGCCAGCACCAGTAGTTTCCTGTGAGCAATCATATGTACGTATTCCATAGACAGAACTTAAAGAAGAACCTAGTTTGGTCAAGAGGAGAATCAGCTCCAGGGCTGAAGGCAAAAAAGAAGATGACAGTAGAATCCCGTGTTTCTCTGACACAGTCATAAATGTACACATAGCAAACATAAAACAAAAGAAAAGATGAAAGCAGGGAGAGAGAACCATCTTGCTGAGAGCTCCTAGCCTTGCTGGCTACCATTTGACTCAAAAGATCACTTCTTTCACAACTGTCGTATTTATGATATGTTCAAGTTTTGAAGGAACAAGCTCCATTACTCATCAAGTTTGTTTCTCCCATTCTCCACCTTATTGGTCTCTCCACTAAAAATGCATTTTTTATTTTTATTGTTATTCAATGCAAAGTCATTTCAAACATGTCATTTAAGTGCCATATACATGTTTTTAAATGAAGAACAGGTGTCACATATCACTTCTAATGGGATATATTCTATAGTTTGTCTTCAGAATAATCTCATAGAACTGTAAAATCAATCACCAACCAAAAGGTATCCCAAACTTCCTCTCTAAAACTGCACTTCAAACTCAGAAGACTATGCAGTCTATAAATTATGATCAGCTGAACTGTGATGCAAACATTTGTCTTTGCAGAATGGAAATATTGAATTGCAATGAAAGTGTACAGTGTTTCTATTCTAACCAGGTGTATCTTTATTTTAATCAAAAACACCTAACTACGTAATATTCAATAACTGCATACTATTCTACATTATTAAGGATCCATGTTTCTGAGAGGATACAACAAACTTCAAGTTTGGTGTTTATTTTTAGACATCACTTCTACGTCTGCTTCCTAATAATTTGCCATGAATAAATGGAGAGAAGAGGCAAAGACAACCATTAATATATTAATAAACCATTAATTTAACAAAAGGTAAATATTACAAATGAATACAGAAAGGGAAGAACAGGCTTCTGTTTTACTTGGAAGTTTTTCAGGTTTTTCCTTAAAAAGGATGGTGAAACAAAGAATAATACCTCAACAAAGTCACTGTTCTAATAGATATTTATTATTAAAACCTACCCAAAATCTAACCAAAATTTAGCAAACTGAATGTCAGTGAGTGTTCAGCCGGAGAGTAATCAGACATAAAATTAAAATAAAAAATATGTATTAACAACAGAATGCACTGTGCTGATTCGCCTAGAGTAAAAAATGAACTAGTCATTAGTTCCAGCCCAGTCTTTGTTGTGATCTCATTATAAATTCCTGAATGAAAAACACTTATCCTCTTTTCCTGCAGAATGTGCTATTCTCTGTCTTAGGACATCCATCTCCTGTTGCTCTTGCTGTTGTTGCTTATTGAAATGCCTTTCGGAATGTGATAAATGCGTTACTACACACAGGTCTGGCAGCAGTTAGACATACACAGCAGGTATTTCCTGTAGCTTTCTTTCTTCATTATGGAAGATCTGCAACTAGATTTCTTCCCCAAATATGAATGAGATTACCTAGAAGCCAAGAAGTTTTTAGGTTTTTTTAGGCAGCCCTAAGTCGTTATGTAAAACAAAACCTTTATTTTCAAAAACTACTCTTGGGGCCATCCAGCTTCCCATTTCAGTCTCATGAAATTCCCCCCCACAGTGGCCGCAAGTTCTGTCAGAGGAGGTTTAGGCTAGACATAAGGAAGAACTGTTTCTCTCAGAGAGTGGTCAGGCACTGGAATGGCTGCCCAGAGAGGTGGTGCAGTCGCCGTCCCTGGCAGTGTTCAAGAGGCGTCTGGAGGACGTGCTGCGTGATACGGTTTAGTGCGAGTGGTGGCAATGGTGATGAGGAGATGGTTGGACTGCATGGTCTTGTTGGTCGTTTCCAACCTTGCGATTCTATGATTCCGTGATCTCATGCACCAGTCAGTACCTCCTCACTGCACCACATCCTCTCGTTTCAGGGTGACATATAAACCTAATCTTAACAAATTAAATACTCAGGCTACTTCCTCACCAGGACTTGACTCTATTTTCAGTCATTCAAAAAACAATTTTCCTAATGAAGACCCAATCCTCTGGGAAACGAGGCCCAAATTTGCTCATCATGGTTGTCATTCACTAAGATACTCAGCATACACCATCACCCAAGACAGGTCCAGGTCATGCAGTAGAAACACAGAGAGCAGCCTATGAGTGCCAATTAGTGTTCAGATTCGAGCTGACTCAGCTGCAGTAGTAAGACAGTTTAAGTTTCTTGTGTACCAGCAATTTTCTGCTTTCTTGTGCCTATCCTCCAGCTATTACCATGCTTCACCATTAAGATCTCTTTTTTTCTCCCACTTAATTCCAAATTTAGCTATCGCTTCCTTAGGCTCCTGACTTTTCTTACTTGTTCATCTACTTTTTGTATTACAGGCTAATGATCTGTCACCTATTATTAAATTATTTGCTCTCCTAATTACCTGTTTTGAAATAATGGATTGTGGAATGAGGTGGCTACCTTAGCACTTTCCCTGTACGTTTCAAAAGCAGAAAGGATTGAAACATTAGAAATGAAAGACTGAAACCCCAAGAGAAGTCTAGCTCTATTTATTACTCACAAAAATACATCACCCACAAAATTTAAAAATTATACAATATTTCTGTAGTATTTATTTTTTGTCCACTTCCACTATCAGTTCTTTTCACTAAGAAGCCTACAAGGTTTTCTCATTTTGAAATCACATGTTCAAAGCGTGCTGAACATTTAATATGACCATAACGTTGTACTGTAAAACCAAGAGGAAAAAAAAAGTGGTTGAATGCACTGCCTTTTTTTTTTCCCCCTCATAAAAATATTTCCTAAATGCTAATGGAAAAAAAAAAAAAAAAGAATTTTAAACAGCTGACCAGGTTTAGGATCAGTTGCAACACAGAAGTT